ACCCCCCCTTTCCTGAATCCACCCCCCTTTCCCACCAGGCGACAAAGCCTTCGCGCAGTTCCTGACGGATGAGATTAAAGAGGAGAAGAAGATCCAGAAACACAAATCCCTGCCCAAGGTCTCGGGGGGGTGGGAGCTGGAGGTCCACGGCACGGAGGCCAAGCTGGTGCGCAAGGTGGCCGGCGAGAAGTAAGTGTGGCCTTCGGAGGCGCCGGGCGAGGGCTGGTGGGTAACGGTAACTGGATTTCTTCTCGTGCTCACGTTATTTTTATTGCTGTCGGTCCGGTCTGTGCAAACTGGATGTTGCAGAGGCTCTTTTAGTTTACCACCTTGGGTCAAGGGCACTTTGTTATTTTATTATTTTTTTTTTAATACACAAGTTTGCTACTGTGTTGCGTGTTACGCAGTTTTGTGCCACCTTCATTCTGTGTCTTAAACCCTGACTGCCGTACTTGGTTTCGTTCACCGTGTGTGAATTCAACACCAGCAAATGCTGTCCCCACCTCAAAAGCTTCAAATAGAAGAAATTTTGATGGGTGTTTTTTTTTTTTTTTTGAGCATGTTCAAAGTAACTGCTTCTGTTTCTTTTGAAGGATAACGGTTACATTCAACATCAATAACAGCATTCCACCCTCAGCTGATGAAGAAACGCAAGAAGAGCAGAAACCTGATGAGCAGGAGGTAACTTAGTCTTGATGCACACTTCAGCGGTGGGGCGTTAGAACCCTGCCCTTAAGCGTGAAGGGTTTTTTGCCCCCTCCCACTGGATATTTTGGAGCATTAAGTCACAAAATGCAGATTATTTCAGGGTTGGCTGTCACTTGGCTGTGACCATCCCCTCTGCAGCAGAAAGGCAGAGCAGGGTGAGAGGGCTCTAATGAGGAGAAATGAGAGGAATTCGGGTATCCCTTGCCTTTGCAACCCCCTGTGGTAAGCACTGCCTACTGTGCTTCGCTAGTGTAACTCGCGGTGCTGGTAGGCAACGTCAGCGAAAGGCAAAGCTCTTCACATGGCTTTGCTGGCGTGGTTTTGTTGGTCAGAAGCATCTCATTGGTAAAACTCTGTTAGTAAAAACACCGGTAAAAACTGTAAATGAGCAGTATAATCTGAGGCAAGTGGCTTTGTCTGCAGCGACGCCAATGCCGAACAAGTCAGGAATGCGGCTGCTCCGTTCGTAGCCGTTAACTTGCCCTTTCAGCGTGGTAGTATTTATTCCAGCGTGTTGTGCTCGGCTGGGTGGAACAATACTGGGGACACTCGTACGTTGCTCCCCTTCCCAGGCGTGCCTGTATCTGCCGAGAAGGCAGAGTCCACTTGCTCTGTGCACGTGCGTGCGGCAGTCTCTGCGCCCTGCCAAGTTTCCTCCATGAAGGAGGGCAGGCACGAGCAGCTCCTGCTGCTGAAATAATCCCAGTCTGTTCCCAGTTCCTGTGGCTTTGGAGGGACCCATCCAGGTGAGCCGCAGGCTCTCTGGGTCCTCAGGGGGTGGTGGATGCTCCCAGCTGCCATTTTGGCCACCTGATGGGCAGCAGAGCAGAGGAGGGGCTGAAGGGCCACTGGTGAGGCTGGGGGAGGCTTGGGTTGCCCTGGCCAGGTCAGGGACTCCAGAAAGGGGGTGACGGGGAACAACGTGTGCTGGATGGGCTGTTGCTGGGCTGTACTGTCCTCACTTCGGCTCCTGTTCAGACTCCGATGCTGATGCAACTTTTCTCTTATTTAGCCTGATCTTACATCAACTCCAAACTTTGTTGTGGAAGTAATAAAAGACGATACAAAACAGACCCTTGTTCTTGACTGCCATTATCCCGAAGATGAGGTGGGTATCACGCTGGTCGCGTGTCAGCCGCAGCCAGCTCTGGGCTGCGACTCGCCTGTGACTCCACTTGACTGGAGTGTAATTGTGCTGCTGTTGAATCTAACCCTCGTTATAGTCTGTTGGTTTTCAGAATCTGTAGAAAATGTAGTCTCCTCTTAACCTCTCTTTTTTGAACACAAAAAATTAAGGCTTTGTGTTTGCACTCTCTGGGGAGATGTTCCATTGCATTCCTCACATCCTGACCTGGCGTTTCTGATCAATGAACCGGCTTATTGGCCACTTTATTGAGTAACATTAGAGAAGGGAGGCATGGCTTAACTTCTAACAGCATGGCAACCTGAGAGGGGTAAACAAGAATGGCCAAAGCAAGACAGATTTCATATAGCGTGTCAGTAACTTGCAGATCTCGTTGTGAGGTGTCACAAAGAGAAGTAGGGATTTAAAAAAAAAAAGGGGGGAAGGGGAATAAAATTGAGAGCTTCAGCTCCAGGCTGATCTTTGTGGTTTATCTTGTAAACGCAGCCAGTCCTAGCTGACAAAGGTTGGACAGATGTGTGAAGACAGATTTAGAACCGCACAGAAGAGGTTTTTAGATCTTTGTAAAAATCAGGCTGCTGAGTTACCTCAGGGCACTGCTGGTAGACTGACGTCTTAGGGGATTTCCTGCTTCTGCATGCCTGTGCTTGTCATCAGGCACGCGTTGAGAGGGGAGAGGCACAGTGTTAGTACCGGTCTTGGGGCTTTGCCTGCCGTGTAGCATTCCTAGCTTCGGGATGAGATGGCTGAAGGGGCTATCTGGGGTTAGAGCTGATTGTGTGTCTTACACCTCATCTCCTGTTTCAGGTTGGACACGAGGGAGAGGAAGAAAGTGATATTTTCACAATTCGGGAGGTCAGTTTTCAGCCCACTGGAGAATCGGATTGGAAGGACACCAACTACACCCTCAATACCGATTCCCTGGACTGGGTAAGTGCTGATAAGGCGGCCCTGGCTGCAGAGGGTGCTGCAGCTGATCTTGTCCCATTGCTCCTGAATTATCAATGAGTCCTGTCTGGGATGCCCAAGACAGGGGATTCCCCTGCTCTGCCCCAGCCTGAGGTGGTGGTTCTGCTGCAAACTGAGGTTTATTACATGCTCCCAGCAGCTGAGCAGTGCTGGCAGCATTGCTGGCAGTCAGAGACCAACATATTGAAACTTGTTCTATTCCAGGCTTTACAGGTTGCTTTCCTAGCAGTTATGTTACTTTAGAGATGCTCTAATGCTTGGTTAAACACCTTTCAATCTCTGTGTTAACAGTGTAGCTTATCAGATACACCTGTATGTGCCTTTGCTTATCAGATACACGTGTAGCTGCCTTTGCTTTCTGGGTTTTCCAGGTGTGTTTTTATAGTTGTGACACTATAATATGCCCAAGAATCTGGCATCTGCTTTTATGTTCTCAATGCCAGGCTTTCAAAAGGTTAAATCTTAGTTGGAGGCTGTGTGTCACATGGATACAACCTTACTCCTAGAGTGTATCTGTCTCTTCGGGAAGCATTCATGTTAAAATTGGGTAGTGTGTGCACTAGAACATTGCACACTGCTCTTCCCCCCCACACACACTGACTTGAGACAGAAAATTAATTAAAAAATGATTTGTGATCTACTCAGATTACAGAAGTCCGAAATTAATCATTTGCTCAGTAATACTGGTCTGTTTAAAAAAACAAACAAACGAAAACAAACCCAAAACCCCAAGAAATGCGTGTCAGGTATTAGCATTACTGCACTGAGCAGTAATAATGAATCTGTTCTGAGGAGCAAGGGGGGAACCCACAATCATTAACATATGCCAGAGCTGCAACAGTTAAGTAGGATTAAAAAGAGGGAAAAAAACCAAAAAGAGTTGATGATTGCAAAAGATTCAGTCTCAGATATTTACATCAGATACAACCCTTTCCAGACACTTAAAGCCACTCGCCCCCAAGGCCATAGCGCTGTATGGGGGGGACAGGCGGAGCTTGGTAGGTGTAATCTTTGACAGACTTCACCTGCTGCTTCCTACAGGCAGTTGATCATCTCCAGAGTGCCGCTTGTTAGGAATCTTGGGTTTGGGTTTATATGACCAGGTCTGGACAACCTGTTCCATGGCCCCTTCCCTCCAAGTGTTATGGTCAAGGCCAGGCCTGCCGGGAAGGAGCTGCCTGGTCTGCAGGAGGCAGGCCAGATCTTCGGAGGGGACAGAAATGCCAGCTGCCGGGGGACATTTTTAAAGCAACCCCTACCCAGGTGTGCTCCACTAAGGAAGTTTCCTGTTCATTGTTTCCAGGCTCTGTATGATCATTTAATGGATTTCCTGGCTGATCGAGGAGTGGACAACACATTTGCTGATGAGTTAATAGAGCTCAGCACTGCACTGGAGCACCAGGAGTACATTAAATTCCTTGAAGACCTTAAAAGCTTTGTCAAATGCCAGTAGGTTAGGCTAGGAAACTTATCTTCACATGTGGGTATTCCACAGCACTGCTCAGTCAGCAATACCCAAATATATCTTCACAACAGATACAGAGAGTAAGTAAGTTGAAATTTGGAAGTGAACTCCATGGGAGAATGAGGATTCTCGCTTGTATTTGGGGATTTGTATTTATGTTGCAGCCCAGATCAAGTTCTCTAACATGGTCCTGAACTGCCTTGCCCTACTTAGTGGGTTTTGTACAATTAAGAATGAATGTGAAGAATAAAATCAGTTCAACATATCACTGGAAAGTGGTGCTTTCTCTTCTTTCTGCTGTACTGTGGCTGACAGGGAGCTGCCATAAAAATGATGCTAGTGTTTGTCTGTGCCTGGGGCATAGTTAATACAGCTGCCTGCGGGGCTGTTGCTGCAGTGATGATGTGTGCTGGCCTGGAGTTTTTTTCCAGCACCTCCAAGCACGCTGTGTGCCCTCCTCTCAGCATAGGAGGAGTATTGCTGGCCAAGCAGTGCTAAGGGACATGGTTTAGTGGTGGGATGGCAGGGTTAGGTTAAAGGTTGGACTTGATGATCTCAAAGCTCTTTTCCAACCAAAGTGATTCTGTTCTAATCATTCTAGAAGTCTTGGCTGGCTGTCTATGTGTTAGGGAATAGAATTCAGGGTCCTAAACGCTGTGTTTGAGGAAGTGTTTTAAATAAGAATGAGCTGCCCTAACCTATTACATTAGCTTTAATCTAGCTGTTTTAGAAAAATACCACAGGGAGGCCGTAGCACTTCAGTTCCAGCAGAATGAGGGGCTGTGAGTGCTGATGTAAGAGGCACCACTGCAGGGCAGCGGCTGTGGCCTTCCACTCAGACCCCTGTCTCCAGTCCTATTAAGATTAACCAGAAACCAAAGCTGAACTCCAATGTGAGCTGTGAGACCACTGATGCATCGTTAAAGACAACACAAAGGCTGAAATAAACTAAGGATATTTATTTCAAAAATGTATAGTGTGCAATCAAAAGTGCAGGTCAAGGCAGTACTACTGCCTTTTCAAGTATCTTTTTGACACAGCAGTTACAAGTACATATATAAAAATACTAGCAGCGCTGTGTGCATTTTTAGTCTTGAAGTCCTTTCAGTAAAAAAAAGCAGCAGCTGAACCACCTCACAGGAGAATCGTCCAGGAGTCACAGACCTTTGCAAAAGGTAAGGTGAACAGAGATGCTGTAGCAACGTATAAAATTATTAATGTTCAAAACTACTCTAAATGCTCTGCTCCCAACACCATCCTCACCACATAAGTATGCACAGTGATTTTACGTAAGCAGCAAAGCTAAGGCCTCACTAGCTCTAGCCTGAGCCAGAGGGACAGTATGTGTTTTCTGAGAGGTTTGGGTGAGCCTTTTGAGGAGGCTTAAACTAAAGTAATTTTTTTTTTTTTTAAAACTTCTTCATGAACCACTTACCTGAACAGATGCTGCACACAAAACTTGGAAGTTGCTGGCTAAGGTGTGAGAAAGGTAAGGCACTAAGTTTGACAGGTCAGAGATTCCCCAAGCCAGCAGTTAAGGCAAGTTGTGTCATTTGGCTTTTCCTTTTACAGTTACCAGTGTTCAAAAGTAAAACCCATTTCCACAGGAGTTTGTGGAAAAAGAGCAACACAACTCCCTGAGATCAACAGACTTGTGGTTTCTGCCCATGTAACTGAGAAGCGGATCCAAGCAGAGATCCCTTCCAGGAGCCTGACATTTAGACTCACCGGACAGCTCATGAGAAGACTGGCTTCCTCCTCCATTCCACTGGTCACCGTGAACTCTGGGTTGTGAAAGCACCTGTGACTGTGCTCTGTCACAGTGTTTTCTAGAAGTGACCGAAGTTTCCTTTCTGTCATACCCTGCGAAAAATGGGGTTCAAGTAAATCTTACACTTAAGCTGCTGTCTGTAGGTTAAAACTGCCTCTTTGCAGCAGGTGTCACATTTCACACGTTACACATGGTGCAGTTTACCTGCGTGTTGATGTATAATCCACACTGGCAAGAAACCAAGTGATTCCTTATGGTCAGGTTATTCCTAGAAAGAGCATACAATGAGCATCATCACAACCACCAGAACAAAGGTAGATTTTAGAAAAAAAAACCCAAACCCAACCCTCTTAGATTTAGGAGCCCATTGCTCAGGGTTTTTTTGTTTTGTTCAAGTTACCACAGCAGCCTGTTTGCGCGCTGCTTTTGCCTGTCCCTAAGCCCAAACTGCTGTAGGGGAGTGGAGAACCTCATTCCAACACCAAGGGCTTTCTTACTTTCTACACACTGGGCAGATGACCTTGTCGCTGGCATCCAAGCCATCAAGCATTGCGTTGAGACATTCTTCATCGAACTGCAAGCTTCGCTCGTACTCTTCTATGACCGACTGTTCTGCAACAAGACAGCAAAATACCCTTGTGCAAAATACTCTGTTTGTTAGGAACTGCAGACAAAGCAGCACACATGAAGCTGCTGGGTGGAAGGAGGCTGGGGCAGCCACTGTTTTCTGAACTTTTCTTTCTTTGGATCAGATTTCTACACTGGATGAAGTAACTCTTGTTAATCCAGTTTTTCCTGTGGCTCAGTCTTCAGCCAGTCTCAGGTCGGTGACTTTCCAACCAACAATTTAGAAACATTCTGAATTGATTTACACAGGTTCCTACAGCCCCCAAACACCTCAGTCCTGTTGCTCTGGTCGTCTCTCTTACTAGCTTCTCACAGACCTTAAAATGCCACTTAAGTTCTTAAAACTGTCAAAAAGGGTCTCAGTGCTTTAGGGAGGCTACAGGGATTTCTAAGGAGGCATCACATGGTCTACAAGAACCAAGGAGTGCAGTCTTAGCTAGTTTGGATTACTAGAAAGTCAGGACTAGTACAAATCAAGGAGTCAAAAAATCAGTAAAGAAATTACCTTGCAAGATCAATTCTTGTTGGATCTCTTCCAGTACTGCTAGCTCATCGGGGTCCTCTAGCATCTGAAAGGTGCATCAGTCAGTAATTCTCCCATCCTGGCTACTTTCTCACTTAAACTTCCAGCACCTGACTGAGCTGTCACTGCAACATAAATTCACCCTGCTTATTCTACCTGGGAAATCTCTGTATGTGCAAAAGCATGCACTGTGGAAAGCAACCTATGCTATAACCACCCATGCAAAGCCAGCCTCGATGGCTCAGAAGGCAGCCCGTCCAAGAACTTCTTTTTAAAACATTAAAGTTTTATTCCCGTTCCCAGGAGCAGTCAGTGACAGACGAGCTCTAAAAACTACCACCAGGGAACCCACCCTCTGCCACGACTGCCGTTTGTGAAGGACACAAGGAAGTTCCCCACTTGTGGGCCTGGAGGTGAGCGCTTCCACAGCGCAGCGTCCTACGCTCGTGGCGGAAGCAGGAGACCCAGGCGCGCCGGATGCTGCCAGCTCCAGCC